TATGAAGGAATTGAATCGGAAGCACGCTTTGAAACGCGGAAGGGCTGGTCCTCCCATGCCTCCCACCTTCTCACCTACCCGCTACACAAAACAAGTGCAAAGCTGCACCGGGAGGAGCCCGGGGCAGAGCGTGGTGGGGAGCTCAGCCTCATTACCAGAACCTCATGGTGTTGGTACCTGCAGTGATACTCTGGTTTATACCCAGGTCATCTGGTATGAAGTAGTGCCAGAACCAGGGTCACAGCTATATCCACTAGTGATACAGGACAGAGCTTAAAAATAATCCTTTGGCTGACACACAGATTTATATAACACAGGGTGGGTCAGTTCCAGATTTTCCAGCAAACTGGTGTTAAACAAGCCTCTCTGAGTGGTCCAGACCTAAAGCGTGTGATGGCACGGAGCATTTAGACAGACCTTGTATCTGAATTATTTGTGGCGTTGTTACTTGTCAAATCCATTATTAGGGATTCCCTTTTATTCCATTTTCACCTGGCAAAGTAAATGAAGATGTAGCATTACCCAAACTACAGGCTGTCAAAATAAAAGAAGGAACTGACATTTCGAGCATTTTGGTGATGTCTTCTACTGTTGAAGGAGTTGCTAAAATTTAAACCAAAGTCACGAGCACGGATTTTCTCCCTTGAGAACATCCAGTGTAACCCCTCAGTTCATCTGGCACTGGCCAAGATTACCTACAGCTCATAGCCTGTATGAAAAAAGTAAAGAGTCCAAGAGAGCAGATGACACCAGTGCCCAGCTCCATACGAGGAGCTTTGCTGCCATCTTTTGGTAGCTGCACGTTCCAGAAAGTAATGAAAAATGCTTTCTGCACAGATACTAAACACCTTTTACCCCTCTGCTCGCCCTTAGCCCACCTGTGGCATCCTCCCAGCCTCTATGGCAGAGGCAGCCAGTGAAAACTAATCTCAACCACTGACACCCCAAGGAGATCCTGAGCACCCCGGGTGTGCCTAAGGGGCTGGAAGGGCTAAGTGTGGGGCGGGGGGCCTGGGTGGTTTCTTCTTGGTCTTGGTGGTGAAGGAGAAAGGCTCAGGCAGAGGCTGTGGGGGTGAAAGTCCAGAAAGAGGAAAACCATAAAAGTCAAACGTAGGGTAAACAGCATGTGTGCAAGATGCACCTTGTAAAATAACGTGGTGAGGGCTCAACCGCTGCCTTGTGACTGGTGCTGCAGGTGCCAGCCAAATGTTTCCCTGTGCCCGTAACAGAGGGGATGTCCCGTGAACCGTCTGCCCCCCCACCCTGGGGCAAAGGGATGACGGGGGCTGTCCCGTGGCTCTGCTCCCCTCCGGGGTCCTGCCGCTGTGCCGGCAGCTCCCTCTCTTCCCTCCTTCTTCTGACTCTTGGGTGCTGGGGTAGATTTTTTTTTATGGGAGGTGAGTGAAATCAGCCCAGGGCAGGCTCCGACAAGCCCCAGAGCATGGGGAAAGAGGGGAGGCTGCCCAAAGCTGACATGTCCCCCTGATTTCAACCCCGTGCTCTGGTTACGAAACTCACGCTCGTAGGGTTGCCTTGGAAGCCGGCTCAGCAGGCTGGCTGTGGTTAGAGGTAACTCTCCAAATTTGAAAGAGCCTTCTTGTTTCTGTTGCTTCCTATCCTGGTGACAGACCGTGTACTTTATTTTAATGTGGAGTTGGAATCGGACACAATTACTTCAGCTTTTGCTGCATTTCCAAGGTCTGTGCATGGCTACACGCAGCCCCTTCCCTTCTACCGCCCCATCGTGAATGCCAAGAAATTCTGAGATCTCACTGAATCCCCACACGCCGCTTCATTTATATGTTCCTGTTCAAAGTAAACTCCCTTGCAAGGTTTTAGTTTAAATCCTGATTCAAAACTCACAAGTGCCGTGTGTGTGTGTGCACTCCAGTCGTGATTCTGAGCAGGATGATCCCAAGCCCCGGGGTTGCGTGGGGGCACGGGGCAGGTGCCGGCTGGGGGTACGGCCCCGGGACGGCCGTGGGAGCGGTGCCTGTCCCGAGAGATGCTGCTGGGAAAGCAAAGGCATGAGCCAGGCAAGAGCACAAGCAGGGAAACTGCCTCTCGCTGTCCATTCCCACTGTGCAAGGGAGAAAGAGTAGGGAAGAAATCCCTGTTAAAAAAAAAATAAAAAAAATGGGTGGGATGTGAACTCTCAGCAATTATTTCTTTTTCTAACAAAATCTCCAGATTCTGAGGCCTGAAGGGTGACTATCAAGACCCCCAGCAGTTTTCCCGGTGGGATGATTCTCCCGTTTCTCTTGCGGGTGATGCTCTGAGCTTGCCAGGAGCCTCCAGCAGCGAAAGGCTGATTTTATCCCTCGCGTTGAGACCACACAGCTCCAGCTCCTCTCCGAGCGGCGCGTTTGCCCTCCTGACCTTTTGGCACCGGGACAATTTTGTTCCGGACTCAGCCCCAGTCTCGCTGTAGGCGGTGAGGGCTGATTCATGTGTCTGAGTGGGAGTTATGAAAGATGTAAAGCTCCCGAAAGGTGTAAAGCTCCGTAGCGATGTAAAGGGCCCCCATCCACTGCAGCATCTCTGCGCGGGGAGGCTTTGCTGCCTCCCCCGGCCCTCCGACACCTCCTTGGGGCTTCACCTGCCCCCCAAACTCTCTCCCAAACCCTCCCGTCCTCTTCTCCGGCTGCTCTCACCAAGAATCTCGGGAATGGGTATTTTTAATTAGCCGGCGAGTCAGGGTTTAATTCTAGGGAATTCTAATCTAGTTCTAACTAAACGGGGAGCTGGGGATGCTGGTAGCCAGCCGCCCCCGGGGCTGCGGTGCCCCGGGGTTCCCGCTGCCTCTCCGGGAGCATCACCCGGTGCGGTTCGTTGTCCCGGTGCCGCTCGGGGAAGGGGCTGCCCGGTGCGGGAGTCCCGGGGCGGCGGCAAGGCCCGCCCC